GAGAGATACCAAACCGGATTTGTGTGTAACCCTTCTGACCGTATCTGGCCTTCAGGTCTCCCTATACTGACGCAGACACACATTGGGGTATATAGATAGGCGTGTGTTCACGACATGTTGTAAACACATTGGCCGAAGTAGTCGGGCGTAGAGTGTAAAAGAGAGCCACATGAAATTGCTTTACCGTAAACAGAGCCTGCGCGATGGTAAAATTGGGGCTGAGCGAGTCGTACTGGCGCCGGCGGACTTGTTATGGCCAGGGCCTGTAAAATGGAAGCCATTCAAGGATTTGGTTTGGGCAAAGTACAGACACTTTTGCCTTTTGGCCACGATTATGGCTCTCTGACGTCAGGGCAACCAGTGCTTTTCAGATAAATCCGTCACGAAATCTCCTCAGTCTTGGTTGTCAGAAGCGTCGCTTGGCTTGGACAGACTCGGTAAGCCAAACAGGCCTGGCTGAGCCAAATCTGGTGTGAGGGAGGTGGCAGAAAACATGTTCAACTGTTCGGCCACGGAAGGTGGAGCACACCGTCAAGGCTGATTCGCTTACGGGTCGACTGGAGAGACAATCACAGTTAGAAAGAGCTTAAGAGACAAATTTAGGCATAGATAAAGAGTAAAATTAAGTAAAAGTAGCATATGCATAGCATTATAGACATATTTGCAAAATTATTTTATGTAATAATGGCCACAGTCCCAGTCTGGTGCAGACCCAACTAATACTGCTAAGTAGAACTAGAAATATAAATAAAAATAGGAATTGAAATTGAAGATGAAATAGAAATAGAAATAGAAATAAAAATAAAAATAGAAATAGAAATAGAAATAGAAATAAAAATAGAAATAGGATAGAAATAGAAATAGAAATAGAAATAGAAATAGAAATAGAAATAGAAATAGAAATAGAAATAGAAATAGAAATAAAAATAGAAATAGGATAGAAATAGAAATAGGATAGAAATAGAAATAGGATAAAAATAGAAATAGAATAGAAATATAAATAGGATAGAAATAGAAATAGAAATAGGATAGAAATAGAAATAGAATAGAAATAGAAATAAAAATAAAAATAGAAATAGGATAGAAATAGGATAGAAATAGAAATAAAAATGGGATAGAAATAGAAATGGGATAGAAATAGAAGTAGAATAGAAATAGGAATATAAATTGAAATTGAAATAAAAATAGAAAAAGGATAGAAAAAG